ACACTTCGATGTGGAGTGCTGGCCACAGCACTTCACAGGAACAGTGGAAGTGGGATCTGTGCTTGCTCATATGTGTCAGCAGCCATAGTTGCATGTCAGACTGCCTGTGCTTCAGCAGCAGTGGAGTCCCAGTGGAGGTGGGTAGGGCGGTGGGATGTGCTCTGCCATCAGTGGTACGGCAGCAGGGGGCACATGCACATTCGTGTTTTTGGGGGAGGGGAGGTGAAGTCTGCCTATACGTGTGTGCCAGCAAAGCAGTGGGAGGGATCTCTGGGTGAGTGTTTGCTGACAAAGCAGTGGGGCAGGCTGCTTGTGGGCTTTTCACATCAGTGGAGGCTGGTCTGCTGGAGGTCTCCAGTGGTTAGATGCAGGCTGCCCATGAAGGAGCTATGATGAGGCCCCCCTGGGAAGCACCCTGTTTGGGTATCGAAGGCAGTGCTGGAAGCTGGTGTGACCATGCTGGGACCCTAGGAGAGGCTGGCACATTGGGGGTGGCGCTCAGATCAGACTGTCCTCATCCTATGGTCAAGATCACCCTGGTCTGTGCAGGTCCAGCAGTCACCCAAAGGCTAAAGCTACCAGAAGATCCTGGTGAGACTTGGGGGATGGGCATCCCTGGCCATGTTCCACTGTACCTGTTCCCACACAAAACCTTCTGGGCTCCACACAGGCTGGAGTCCTGCCCCTGCCACCTCTCTCAGCAGCTCTCCCTGCCAGCTCAAGCATTCATGTGGGTCGTGGGATCTCCTGCAGCTAGGATTTCAGAGGCCTGTGGCAAGAGCAGGCTACTCCTTGCCTATACAACTCATCCATTCCCCAGGTCTTCCTTGGAAATGGCATTGGTAGGATTTGAGATGCAAGGATTCTTCTTGCGTAGCAGGAAGTAAAGGAATTCTGAGAGGGGTTGTGGTTTTGAATTTTCAGGCCAAATATTTTTTGATCTACCTATTGTTTTTCCCTAATAAATACCTGGATACTGTATCCTTTCTAAACTGAAGGAGTATCTGTTCCATACAGAGCTGTGATAATTCACAGTTGAGACACTTTTTTTTTTTTTTTATCAGTTTTCAAAGTGGAGAACTAGTAACTACAATGACAAGTTTATATATTTGCTCAACATTTTTAGCAGTCCCCAAACTTGAAGAGTAAATTATAATTTGAAGATTCTAAAAGTACATTTCTGTCTTTTTCTCTTTATCTTGTTCCAGAAGGATTTGAGGTATCTTACATAAATACAGAAAATTTTATTTTCTAATGGATAACTGAGGCAAAGGGAGTGTAGATGTAAGAAAAAATAATATGAAGCCAGAGACTGAAAATCTTCCAAGTCAGTACCAACTCCAGCAAGGTGCTGGCGAAAGAAACTGCTGGGCTTGACTTCAAGAATGATTCCTGGTGTCTGTGACAACAGGAGAAGGCTTGAGGCCTGACATGACTGCGATGTCCTCATCAGCAGGGCGAGAGCCACCCTTCATTCCCACAGCAGCTGGAGACGGCTGGTCATGAGCAGAGCTTGGAGCACTCCCCAGCTGACCACACGCCACCCTCCTGCACTTTGACCTCTCTGGTGAGGTCAGAATCCAGCACGTGTGTTATTCTGAAATTAGTGTTTTTCTTCTTACTTTTGAAGATGTTATCATCTGTGAATATTGGCATCTGTGCAACATTATCAAGCATATTTTTGCAGTTTAGAGAATTAAAGATAAAAGTTTATTAGGGTTCTTTTCTCCCTGTAGGAAAAGGAATGATCATCAGAAATGATGGCTGTGGGTCTCTGCTGTGGGAGTGGTTGAGATCAGTGAGGGAGGAGAAGGCTAAGGTGCCCTCTAGCTTCCCACCCCTCAGTGCTCCTGTTCTTACTTGCCAGCACCCCAGGAAGGACACGTGCATTGGAAAGGAATGCAAGTCCCCAGTGTCTTGTCAGCAGTTCCAAAATCCAGGGATTTCAACACTCATTTTATGGCAAGCCCTGCCCTGCAACATGGGCTGTTCAGCAAGCGTCATTATTCACCCCTTTACCCACTGCATGCATTTGTTTGGTGAGCATTTATTTCCCACCACCTGTGTGCCACGGAATGGGGTAAAGGAAAGGAACAAATGACAGTCATTAGTGGAAGCTTGTGAAAACCACAGCACACCTTCTGGGCATGTGTTAACTCAGAGTGTGTCACTCTTTACGGCACCCCGTTAGGTTAACTCTCCAAGGCCTAGGGAGGCACAGGTCTTATTAGTTTTTCTTTGTAAACTTGAAAGACACATACCCAGTACAGGATTTTTTTTTTTTTTTTAGGAGGGAGTCTTACTCTGTCACCCAGGCTGGAGTGCAGTGGTGTGGTCTCAGCTCACTGCAACCTCTGCTGCCCAGGTTCAAGCAATTATCCTGCCTCAACCTCCCGAGTGGCTGGGATTACAGGCATGCACCACCATGCCTGGCTAATTTTTGTAATTTTAGTAGAGACGGGGTTTCACCAGGTTGGCTAGACTGGTCTTGAACTCCTGACCTCAAGTGATCTGCCCTCCTTGGCCTTCCAGAGTGCTGGGATTACAGGCATGAACCACTGTACCCAGTGCAGTGCAGGATTTTGAAATGTTAAGTGTCCAGGAACAACCTGTCCGTCTGGTCTGGGAGTGATGGGCTACTTTCTTAGAGAGCTCTCAGCTCTTACATGTTGATGCTAACTGGCTCCTAGAGAAGTATTCCTAATGTGTCCTTTGGGCCATGCTAGGAATGCAGTTATTTGTGTACTGGAGCTTAAAAATATATGACAAGGTGTGAAAACAAGTACTGAACAGCCAACGTGGGGAGCATCTGCAGATGGTAACTCAGAGAAACGGGTTATCAACACTGACTTTGAGAAGGGCCACAGCTGCCATTTGGCTCATAACTGATCGCCTGGGAGAACGAGGGTGTGTTGGTTACAACAGAGGTCCTACTTGGGTGGCCCATCACCTCTGCAGCTTTAAAATGGAAACAAAGTGGCTCTTCACAAATTCCAGGTTGGTCAGGTCAGAGATAACCTGGCTGGTGAGTGTGGGTGTAGGTCAGTAGATTTTCCACCAGTGGCCTCTTTCATTCTGCCAATGTGCAAAGGTAGAGCTACCTAGGACTTTGATTTTGTCTTAGAATGGATACTTTCTTCTCTTATTCCATCACTGAGGCCCAGAAGGCTTGAGGGGAGATGGGCCTGGCTCTGAGGGAGGAGGCCCATCCTGCAGGCTGAGAAGACTTCGTTTTGCAGTTTTGTGATAAATCAGATGACATACTTTTCTCCTTTGAGGGCTTCTGTTTTATCATTTAGAGTTTAAAAGTGATGCTTGTGTTTTTCTCAAATTCAATGATATTTCTTTAAAATACAGTAATACCTGCATATTATATAAATTTGGAAAATACAGAGGAAAATAGGAAAATGAAGATCGTATATCACTATTCATATTTTGGTTCTTCCTAGATGTTTTAGTATTTATTTTCCTTTGGGGCCTGAAGATACTTGTATGTAAGATTTTTGCAAAATCGTGATCTAACTGTGTATGCAGATTTATATCCGCTTCTCTCTAGATCTCTGAGCCATCTTCATAGTATGATTTTAATGGCTGTGTACCTTTTTACTGTTGCTGGTGTTATCTATAGTTGTGTATTTCTATTTTTTGCCCTTTTTTGTGATTGTAATTGTGTTGTATAGCACATTTTTGTTTGTAAATTATGACCCATATCTCAGATTATTTCATAATACAGTAGTTACCTCTTATCTGTGGTTTCACTTTCCATAGTTTCATTTACTCACGGTCAACCAGGGATTAAAAATAGGTGAGTACAGTACAATAAGATATGTTGAGAGAGAGACCTCATTCACATAACTTTTATTACAGTGTATTGTTATAATTCTATTAGTTATTGTAAATCTCTTACTATGCCTTATTTATAAATGACACGTTATCGTAAGTATGTATGCATAGGATGTAACATAGTCTAGTAGATGTAGGGTTGAGTACTGTCTGTGGTTTCAGGGATCCACTGGAGGTCTTGGAACATAGCCACTACAGATAAAGAGGGCCTACTGTATCCACTTGTGGTCCTGCAAAGATTTGGGTCACTTTATGAAGCCGGTTGGTGCATATGTAGACTGTGTAGCAGAGATGTGTCCATATAGGCTAGTGCTAACATGGAAATAACTATCAAATGAAAGAAAAGCCTTCCTGTTTATATTCGGATTCTGAAAATGCATGCTGTTCATATTAATCTGTTGTGTTGGTCAGAGGTGTTTCTGTGTACAAAGACTATGGCAGCTTTGGACCTGTCGGCGTGGGCTCTTTAATAACAATAGCTGTTTATCAGAGTAAGATTTTACAGGGATATAGATTATCTAAAGAATCAGTGGAGAATTACTCACACATTTACTACTAATCCTTCCCTATTGTGAGGAAAGAGAAGATTTACATTTTAGCCTGGATGTAGGTCATATGACTTTTCTTCTGATTATGTATTTTTTTAAAAAGCATAGTTTTTTATGTCTACCAACATTTATGGCTCCTGATTCCTGAGTCCGAGAAGAGTTATTGGGATTCCTGCCCCCAGGGGAGTGTCCTGTCCCCTCCACCCAGCTTCCTTGGTCCAGTTATCCACCCTGGGTGTGACCTTTCAGACCCCTGCCCGCTTGGTCCAGGCCTCCTTCTCTTTGCATACTTGCATGGCTCTCCATGCTCCTCTGAAGGAGTGGATTTTCTGTGCCCCTCAGCCCCATTGGCCTCCCCGGCTGTGGTGGCAGTTGGGTGTGGACCCCTCATCTGGCCTCATAGCTCTTACCCTTTTGTTGGTTCAGCTCCACCCCACATGAGTGAACTCGGGGCACCCATGTGACGGTGGAGGTCACTGGGTGCTGGGCCCCTCTAGGCCTGTCGAGACGGACCACTCTCTCGGGCAGGCTTGACAGAAGGCCTGTTCGCTGCATGGTTTTGGAAGTCGGTAAGCCAAGGACTGCACAAATGTCTCCATCATTTTCTAGAAAAGAAGAAGCCGAGGCGGGGCAGGCCTTCGCGGGACTGGCGGGAGCGGAGGAACGCTATCCGGCTCACCAGCGAGCACACGGTGGAGACCCTGGTGGTGGCCGACGCCGACATGGTGCAGTACCACGGGGCCGAGGCCGCCCAGAGGTTCATCCTGACCGTCATGAACATGGTGAGTCCGGAGCTGGGGTCCTGACGTGGGGGGCTCTGTTTTCTCCTTGATGAGAGATCTGGAAGCGGGTGCTGTGTCCTCATCTCCTCAAGTGAGGAAGACATTGGGTTAGGGGATAGGGGAACATAGCCTGGTGATTCCAGGCATTGAGGAGGGCAAGTAACTGGGGGACATCCCAATGGGAGAGCGCCTGCCCTCGACTCCACACTGGTGTGGTGTTGAAGTGCCCAGATCTGCTCAGTGATGGGGCCGCTTGTTACCAGAAGGCTTCCCAAAAGCTTTGCCATGCATCAGACCCAGTCCAAGGGGCATTCGAGGTCATGTGAATCCCAGACCCTGCTCCAAGGAGTCCATAGTCTAGCAGGAGGAACAAATTCTGCCTTCTATGGAAAACAGAGCTTACTGTATGGTGAGAAGTGGGGAGAGAAGTTGTCTAGTTGACGGAACCAAGGAAAGAGTCAGGATGCCCATGTCTGTCTACGTCTGATTTGTCAAATGGGGACGGAGGGAAACCTTTAGATGGGGATGGGTGGGTGGTGAGGCCGCGCTCCTCAAATGTTAGACCCTGAAGAACCTTCAAGGGCATCCTAGCTTTACCCATCCATTCATTTTCCCAGGTGTTTTTAAGGACTAAGTCATTTGACATGGCGGGAGCGGGGAGCCATAAGGGTGTGGGAGATGTGGATAGGGCTGGGTGAGGGAGGGAGGGCCAGGCATCTTGAGGAGCAGGGGCTCTACCCTGAGAAGTGGGACCACTGAAGGGAAGGGGAGCAATATGCTGAGGTTGATGTTAGGAAGAACAGCCCAGCAGCTGCGTGCAGGGTGGATTGGAATGGGAAGCAGTGTCGTGGAGCACTGGGGCTGGAGCAAGTGTGGGAGAGGTTGGAGTGGGAATGGAGGAGGGGCTGACGTAAGAGGAAGGAGCTGCAGGAATTGGTGACTGGCAGGATGTGGGGGTTAGAGAGGCAGGAAGAGGAGGCAAGAGAAATCCAGGCTTCTACACCCAGGCTTCAAGCTGGGCCTCTGGGTTGGCGGTGGAGCCACTGGCTGAGAAAAGGAGGAGCAATGAGTTTGGGGCCACAGCAAAGAGTTTCCATTCTGGACAAACTGAATTCAAGGTGGAAATCAGGACAGAGGTCTTGGTGGGAAAGAGGGACCCGGGCTTTTCAGCCTACAGCTGGCAGCTGAAGTAGGAGAGTGAGCAGCACTGCCTGGCTGAAATGTATCAGTGAGTAGAGAAGCTGTCCAAAGACAGCCCATGGAGCACCAGCCCTGGGGGGATGGGGCAGCGACCTGGGAGGAGGTTGTCCTGAAGAAGGGGTGACAGGTGCAGGAGGAGACTGGTTAACAATGCCAGATGGAATGGCATTAGGGAGTGTTGTCGTTAGATGCTTAATGAGGACGAACTGAAAAGTGAATGGGAAGTGAGAAGTAGAAAGAGCTACAACTCAGCTGTAGAAACAGCCAAGTTGCTGATCTTGGCTAAAGTAGAGGAGAGGGAAGCCTAGACAGGCGGAATCTGGGTTAAGGGGAACTTTGTAGAGGGAAAGGGATATGAAGGTTCCGAGTGTGAGGTTTAGCCTCAGGCCTGGGCCAGACTCCTGCCCAGCCACTCATAACAGAGAAGAACCTCTGTCAGCCTGCTTATCAACAGGTCAGGGGTTTAGCTCTGGCCACAGTGAGTACACGGTGCCTGGCCACAAATGGTCAGGCTGCTTATGGAAGGGAGTGACGCGAGAGGACAGGGCAAGGTTAAACGACATGGGTGCAGTGGGGAATGACCCAGGGCCTGAGTTTTCAGTGGGGACACAGCAGCCGTGGGTTGTGTTGTGGGATAGGGAGATGACATGCCTATCCCTGGAATCTGCAGGGCCTTTGGGCCAGCTGCAGCCAAGGTCTTGAGGTCTGGGGAAGGTGCAGAGCCTGGGCTGCCCAGGCCATAGGCACCCTTGTTTGCTTGGTGTGATGAGCTCTGGAGCTCAGGGGTAAGAGCTGGGGAGGAAGTTGGCTCTGACATGAAGTGTAAGGGAGGGGCTCAGAGTGCTGGGAGGATAGCGGAGGGTGGTGGTCCTCATGGCTGGACAGGGTCTGCAGGCGGCTCTTTGCCCATGTGTGGATGTTATGTTGCTGAGAGGGACGTCTGGGGTTTTAGAGGTGGATTGGGGCAGGGCTGTGAATGGGAAAGAACACAAAAGCTGGATGAACCCTCCAATGCACCATTGCTGCTGGGATCTCAGCTCTGGTAGTTGTGTAGCTGGGGCTGTGGTGTCTGGGAGGCCTGGTGGCATGTGGTGGCCTGGACAAAGGATACCAGGACTGATTCTCCCCTCGTAGGGATGGGATCCCACAGCTTGTTTCCCAGAGACTGAAGGAGGCCCCGGAGTGGGGAGACTCAGGGACACTGCCAGAGTCACACAGGAAGTCACCGGCAGAGCTATCATGACCATGTCAAACCTTTCTTTCCCCTAACCAGCCGCACAGGGAAATCAATGTTGAGGACCCCAATTCTGGGCCCAGTGGGTGTGGGGACCCCCACGGCAATCCTGCTTGTCAGGAGGACAAATCTCTGGTACTTTGTCCTCCGTTTTGTTGAAGACTTTCCAGGACTGCTTTTGGGACATGCCTCTATCTGTAGGAAATTCCCTCTGTCTCCTCCACGCCCCTCACCCCTGCTGTGCTCTGGAGGGAGGCTGCTTTGGCAGCACTCAGAGAGTAGAGGCCTCATGTTGAGCCACTGAACCCACACGTTTCCTCACATGCCAGGCTCTTCTGCAAGGCACACTTGCCAAGGAGGCCCCCGGGACCCTGGGCCAGGGATCTGCTTTCCGACGTGGCCTCGGTGGGCATGTGAGGGTGCCATGCTGCTCCCACTCCTCCTTCAAAGTCATCAACTCTGGAAGTTCCATTAACTTAAAAAAAAATTTTGGCAAATTTCTTTTTCTATTTTTTTATTGTGGTAAAATGTATATGTAATACAGAATTCACCATCTGAACCATTTTTATGTGTACCAGCTCAGTGGCCTAAAGCATATTCACCTTGTTGTGCGACCACCACCACCATCCACCTCCAGGACTTTTTCACTATCCCCAAAATGGAAACTTCCTACCCATTAAACACTATCTCCCCCAGCCCCTGCCAACCTCCATTCTACTTTCTGTCTGTATGAATCTGATGGCTCTAGATACCTCATATAAGTGGAATCATGCAGTATTTATCCTCTTGGGAACAAATGGCTTATTTCATTCAGCATAATGTCCACGAAGTTCATCCACGTTGTGGTGTGTCAGGATGGCTTTCCTTTTTCAGGATGAACAGTATCCCATTGCACGTAAGTGCACCACATTTTTCTTATCCATTCATCCATCAGTGTATGCCTGGGTTGTATCTACCTTGTGCTATTGTGAATAATGCTGCTGTGAACATGGGTGTGCAAATCTCTGTTCAAGTCCCTGCCTTCAATTCTTTCGGACATACACCTGGAAATGGAATTGCTTAGGTTAAGTTTTGATGTTGCTCAGCTCTGAGAAATAGTTCCGTGTTAACTTTTGATGGTGCTCATTTCTGAGAAATAGTTCCATGTTCCTCATGTGCACAAACCCAGGTCTCCCCGGTGGCCGGTTAATGATGGGCTGCATTGCTCCAGTCTGCCCGGAGCATGCCTGAGATGAGGGCTGGAGGGGCTTGGCTCTGCACCAGACGCTTTCATCTGTGGATTATTTTTTCTCTCTCTCTTTAAAAATTATCCAGGGCACAAGTGCAAGGAATAAACATTCATTACAACAGCTAAGGTAGTAATAAGGGAGAGCTTCTACTTTGATATTTGCTTTCATAATTTATCATCCAGGCAGGGGTGGTTGTTTGATCCCAGGCAGGGAGTGGGAAGGGAATGGGGTTGGTACATGGAGACAGGCCTTCCCACCCGCACCCCTCATGGGCCATAAAGACTGAAGGGCTCTGTTTCTTGCCTTTGATTGAACACCCTTCACCCCTCTTCAGGGGCTTGTACTAAGACGCTAGAGGCTCAAGAGCCCGGGGCTGAGGGCAGACCTGGGGCCAACATGTGAAGTTTGGATTGAGATGTTTCCTGAGGAGGCCTGCCTAATAAAGGTGATCCCGCTGTGAGAAGGGCTGAGTGTGATGACTCTGAGCCCTTCTATCATCTATACTTGGGGTTTCCGGGCCCTTTTGATCCAAGCCAGAAGGCAAATGGAAGCAGAGTCATCAGCCCCCAGCCCAGGTGGGCTCACACCGCAGCAACCCTTTCTTGCCGCTCTAGCCCTGGACCACCATTCAGTAAATTGAAAAACAAGTTCTGTTTAGACATGACACCTTGTTTAAACAAGACCACCTCCACCAGCACCTCCCTTTCTCAATTCTTCAAATCCTAGTTTAGGAAATCCAAAGAACTCTCCTGCCTGTGGCTGTTTTAGAAAAGGGCTTTCTGTTAGCAAGTGAGATAACCTTTAAGTCGGGAGGAAGGGAAAGGATTGTGGCTGGGCCAGAAGGCCTGTCATTAGACAAGCCCCCTGGAACAGAGAGCAGAACGTGATGCCAGCGAGCCCATCTGCTTCCCTCCAGAGCATGTTTTCTGTGGGGCTGTGGGATGGGAGTGGCCCTGTCTCCTTAACCCCTCCAGATTTGGAAGGAAACCTGCTAGAGTTGGTTGCCACCTTCATTCCAACACATTTCTCTCCGAGTTGTGGGAAATAGCATGATTCGTGCTGATGGCCAGGCACCCACTTCCTCCCACCCTCCCACTTAAGTCTCTGTGGTCAGAGGCCTGGCTTGCCCGTGTATGCTGACCTGATTGCCAAGGCAGAACCCAGACAGGACCCTGTCCCCAGGGCAGACTGGGGGCTAACAGTGCCTCAGAGAGCTGATAATGTGGCCAAAGCTGGGAGAATTTGGCATCAAGTGTTGGCTCCAGGTTTTCATAGCATCTCACGGTTTTGATGTATTCAATTAGCATCAACCACTGGCACCAAGGGAAGATGCGAAT